GCTCTATGGAGCAGCATCAGACTCATATTCTGACTAGAATTGAGTCGGACTACGTCAGGCTAATATAACCACACATTTGGGATTAAATTTGTAACATTAGGAAAATAAAGTCTTAATATTAGTAGGATAAAACTGGATTAACGATTAAATTTGTGACATTATGGGATTAAATTTGCAACACCACAATGATAAGTTATAGCATTTTGGGATTAAAGTCATAAGATCGTAGTTTAACCGAATTAACATTTAAAAGATAAATGTTGTAACATTACAAGATTAGGCTCCTAATTTTACAAGAATAACATGGTAACATTTACATAAGATAAAAGCTCCAACATGGAGACATTAAAGTCAAAACATTAGAAGAATGAAGTCTAAATATAAATAGGATTAAACTGTAACATTAGGAGATGAAATCTGTAACATAAACCAGGATTAAGTCCTAATATTACACCAGCACTAAAGGCTGGATGGACACTGGTAATAATCCTTATACAGTGGTCATTTAATCCATCAGGGATTCAATCATTTCACACACAATAAGAATCCGCAGCAGTTTAATGGAGCTCCTCCCAGCAGGTCAGTGCAGATATGCAGTGATTCATCCCTGTTTTGTCTCAATCACTTCGCAGGTAAACAACCCACCCATCACCCATGTAGTATGCGTTTAACTGCTTCTGCCGACTCTCTGCTCTGCTATTCTACGTGTCATCAGTTCTTTAAGGAATTAGAAATGATTTTCTTTGATCTTAGGAGTTTCTTTTCATGCTTCTGCGCAGTCGTCACCTCTGAAGGCCGGGTTGATCAGGTCCTTCCTGTTTGCACAGAGTAGAGCGTTCCCGAACACCAGGTCCAGGCAGCAGAGCAGCAGGTGGTACGAGTTCACCAGGTCATCGCCGATCATTCGGAAGTTACCTTCAGGGAAACAAATCCACGGATCAGAACTAGAAGGGAAACTGATGTTTTACTGGAGTGTAACTATCATCTCTGCAATGATGTAGTAGATGTAAAGGGTGTACTTGTGGATTTTGGCCCGATGTGTTTGTGTATATATATATATATATATATATATAAATATATAACACACATATATACATATACATAACACATATATAGGTAAAGATATTTGTATAAAAAAAGCATATACATATATATGACACATATACGTGTGTGTGAATATTGGACAACAAACAAGTTTAACAGGAATGTTATTCAACTTTTAAGTTAATTTAAGAGCAATTAGAGGGTGAGGGGTGTAACCCAGTGTTAAAAGCACAAGTAAAAAAAATATATATATATATATAGATCTTGAATTAATATCTTCTTCTATAATACTTGTTCTACTTAAAATGTATGGATTTCATGTCTTAGTTAAATAAGTTGATAAACATGTTCATAAATCTAAATAAAAAATGCTAAAAATCTATAAAAACTTTGATATTTACTTGTGGTTTTAACACTGGGTTACAGGGGGTATGAAAAATAAGTTTTACTTCTTAAAAGCCCTTTTCAGACAATTTCCATTAATTGATGTCATTTCTCTGGCTGTATAAACAGACAGGTTTATCTGGTGGAGGGTTTTGTTTCTATTTATGTTCAGGTGAATTTAGTTAGTTTGGAAAGTGGTGTTTGGTTTGATCAGGGTTTCCACGGGCCATTAAAAAACATTAAAGTTATTAATTTTTTATTTTTTATTAAGGCTTTAATTGGCAAAAAAATTCCTTAAATGTTATTATCATGGCATTTAAAATGCTGTATAAAAAGAGCATTAAAAAGCATTAAATTAGTTACTCATTCCTGTATAAACCCTGATGTTAACTAGTCTCTTTTGTGTGTATTTTGTGGATTCATTTATTGTTGTCAAAAAATGTTTAATAAATTCCAATTCTTATTCCTATTTTACATGGATTAGTGGGAAAGATTTATTATAGTTTAATAAATAACACGAAACACAACCTTCAGAGAACTTTGAGGAGGATCTTTAATAGTTCCTGTTTAATGTAATAGTCTCTAGATCAGGAGTCTTTAATGTTTTCCAGGCCAAGGACCCCAAACTGATGGCGATGGAGCAGGGACCCCCTAATTATATATATTGTATGAAATAGTGTTCTATCAAACTGGTCCTATAGTCCCTCTATTACAGATGGAGTAATGTAACTAAAGTAATCCCTCCCTGGGATTATTAAAGTATTTCTGGTTCCTGGTTGATGGGACAGGTGTTGTGAATGAAACGGTTCCCAGCTTGAAAGAGCTCCTGTGTGTCTCTGAATGTGAGCATTGATGACTGAAAGACATCTTCTGCCTCCATTTATCTGTTTACTACAGTCTGTTGAATTCATGTTCATGTGGATTTAAAGACATTTCAAATAGTGGAAACAATTGCAGGGAGGAATATTAACAAAAAAAAGTCTAATCAATCACTTTTTGGATCCCTAGGGGTTGCAGAGCCCCTGTTGAAGACCTCCGCTCTAAAGAAATAACCTCAAACATTGTACCGATATGAGCAAAAGCTTTCAAGAGAACAGAGTGGGTTTATTTCTGGATACCTTTGGTGTAGACAAACAGGGTCCAGCAGAACTTGAACACATCACTGATGTGACACGGCAGCCGCCTGCAGGGTTTTAAAGAAGAGACACTGTTAGGCGCATCGCAGCCCCGCCGGATGAGAAGCCGGCGGCGCTCTGTACCTGTGCTTCCTGCTGCGCGGCTGCCGTGGCGCCTCGCTTCCCTGCGGATTCGCAAACAGGTCGCTGAAGATGGGCTCGAACTTGCGAAAGATCACGGTGGAGACCTCGAAGTTACGCTCCAGCCGGTCCATCCTCAGCCGGAAGTCCTGCGACAGGCTGGACATGTCGGCCCACTTCCGCATCTTGGAGAAGAACTGGATGAGACTGTGAGCAGAGAGGGAGGAGCAAAACTTTCTCACCTTGACGATTCAGACCAGCGTATGCCTGACGTACGAAGAATCTGGCAAAAACGCTGGCATACATTAAATAAGTTATGAGCACTAGTGATGGGTCCATTAACACCGATGCGTGGAGCCCATAGAGCAAAACACTATCGGTGAGCGTGTGGTTTCAAGAAAGTCATGTGACCGATACAGGAGTTGTTTCTAACGGACTGACTCACTAAACTGTGTTTAAAATCATATCTGTCAACATGATGGATCTGCTAAAAAAAAATATCTCTTCTTTTGCACTTTATCATTAAAATGATCAATAATTTTGGAGCAACCTAAAAGGAATAGGAACGTTTCAGTTGTTGCGTTTTTATTTTAATTTTCTTGCTGTGTCATCCTTTTCCTCTGGGACGTCACGCATACGCTGGATAAATCATCAAGGTGTGACGGGGCCCTAAGGAAGACGTCTAAGCAGAACAAAGAGCAAAATGTGCAGCTCTGGGCAGCAGCAATCAAGCTAGTGAGACGAAATCCCTCCTTCTGATTGGCTCTTATCTGTCTTTATAAAAGAGTAACAGTTGGTAGCTTAAAAACAGGCTGCTTTGAGGCAGGGCATCTTTTCTGTCCTAGGATGTAAGAAGCATCGGGCAACAGATGATGGGGGGGGGAGTCTGACCTTAACTTGGCGCAGCGGAGGATCCTGGTGAGGGAGACGCAGTTTCCCTCCATCAGGCCTTTCCCCACTGTGGGAGTGGAGCCTTTCCTGCAGGCGGCATACAGAGCACAGGCCAGCCAGTGGACCACCTCTCCCTGAAAACAATACAGGAAAATAACCTTTGTTCATCTTTAGATGCTGTTAATACTCTGCTTCCTCCACTTTAGTTCAGCTCATGCAGAAACAAGGAAAACAACATATTTCATCTCATTTTAACTATAAAAATAAATACATTTAACGGACTATTTGACTGATGAAGCAGCTCATTGATGCGGTACGGCAGATCAATTTGATCTTTAGTTGAGCCTTAAAAATTATGCTCGGCCACAATGTTTTCTACTTTTTTTTTTTTTTCTATTTTTACTGTTATATTTACTGTTAAACAATGAACCAGTCATCTCCAGCTATCTGTTCATTACAACCACTAGCTAGACATCCACAGTTCCACAGGATACATAGAAAGGGATGATTGGTTCTCCCTTTATTAGATATTATAGAAAAAGGAAGAAATAAACACACAAAGATTACGAACATAAATCTTTTGTTTAAGATCAAAAATGCTAAGGTGCACTTCTGTTATACAATGGGTAAGAAAAGTAAATAATTTACTGATGCATAAGTGTTAAAAAAAAGATCTAGGAAAAAAAAAAGAGGAAGAGAGGGGAAAAGGATGGACGGATCGGAGTGACACATCTGATCCATCTTTTCATGAACGGATCCCTTTTTAGTGTTAAAGTGGTGATAGAATGATTCTATAGGGTATCTGGTCCTTCAGGTCTCTAATAGGGTGTGTAACATTGGTTGGGCTGAAAATGGCATATTAGCTGTTCTATGAGCCCTAATGCAGCCTGGTTAAAAGCCCTAGAATGAAACCACAGGTTTTCTTCCTTTTATGGTAGGATCATGAATATTTAGATGAGCTGTGCTCTGATTGGTTGGTTTATAACGAGCCAAGCTGCTGAGCAAAGACGCATGATAGCAACAAGCACTCACTCACTGAAACATCAGATTGTTGATATGGTAGGGGGACCAGACGTCCTCTTTTTCACTGACATGTCCTACTTTTTAGACCTAAAAAAAATATCTGGTGCAGCAGAACCGAACCGTCAGCTCCGGGAACCATGGTGGACAGGGGCAGGGAGTCAGCGGGACACGGAGCTGGATGATCAATTCTATTCAGTTTATTTCTATAGCTCCGATTCACATCATGTCATCTCAGGTCACTTTCCAGTTC